CTCTGGGAAGGCCTGCTGCCCACTTTAGACTTCTGACCTCATGAACTCTATGGGACAGATCATATTGATTTTGGCAGTAAGTTTGTGGTAACATGTTACAGCGGCAATAAGGAACTAATACTACCTGTCAGGTGGCAGGCTTTCTGCTACAGTCTTCAGCGCATTATCTTACTTAATTCTTTTAGCAGTCCTCCAGGAGACAGGTATTTGAGTCCTCATTTTGTGGTGTGGAGACAGACCCTGGGAGTTCAGGGAGTTTTTTGGAAATGATTGAGCTGGACAGGGATGAGTCTGGGACCTAACCCCAGGTCCAGCTGTTTCCAACGTCCATGGGATAAGTCTTGTATAATAAATGCCCAGGGGCATGAAGAGTAAGAAAGCCCTGGAGACGTAGCTCAGCGTATGGCTTTACCTGTGACGTGTGATGAGCTGGGTGGCAGGTGCTCAGGTGCACTGGGGTCACGTCACCTGGGTTCAGATCTGGCTTTGCCACTTTTATTTGTGTGCAATTTTGAGCAAGTTATGAATGGAAATTGGAAAGACATCTTTCTTGTTGGGATCTGGGACCTGACAGAACATAGTGTGGATGAAATGCTTAGCGCGAGGCCTTGCACTCAGTAGGTGCTCTTAAATTAGATAACAGAGATGGTCCCAGCAGGGGTGACAGCAGCAATGACAAGGAGCGAATGATAATAACAACCATGAGTTCCTTTCCCTGTTCCGTGCTCTAGACAGAAGGACGGGCGGCCTTCCTCTGTGGGTCTGCTCCTGAAGTCCCTTCCTCCCCCGTGTGCAGGAGGCCTCCCCACTAGCCTGGAAGCTCTCTGAGGACACAAGGTCCCCTTTATCCCTCTCTTATTTATTGCTGCCTCCTGGGCATTAAAAAAAATGGGGTGTATGGTGAGCTGAGACGGGAGTGTCCTGGGCCTCCCGGGGCTCCCCAGTCTATGCTCTCTGTCTGGAGCTCACTCCAGGGCGTGCCGTGGACACAGCTCTTGCAGGCAGTGGCGGTTGCTTAGCATCTCTGTGGTCCTTGCCCCTCTCGTGCCCTCCCAGGCTCATTACTGCCCACAGACGCAAGCTGGTCAATAAGTGTGTTCAGGGGCCTCTCCCCGCCTCCTGGATCACCTCAGCCACTTCCTTCCGTCACCTCAGCTCCTGAAATCTTGCCACGTGCCTGGAGTATTTTCTAACGGGTCCCAGCTGCTGGTGCGGGGCTGAGGTTCTATTTCATTTGCCTCCGGAGCCTGGAGGGCGCTGGTTTTATATAGCCGCCTCCTCCCCCTCGTTCCTCATCCCCCTTCTCAGGAAGGCAGAGGGAAGGCGGCCCTGATTGGCCCGAGTTCCAGCTCCCCCATAGACTCGGGTGATGGCATCTGTATTAGCATAATCCGTTTGACTCCTCCAGCTGCTTGCTTTCCCCGGGATCTGCCTGAGCCTCGCTGCTCCTGAACGTCCTTAATGAAGACATGACAGTGGGTGGCTGAGATGGGGAGCCAGAGAGGAGAGCAGGGGAGAGGTCCCTCGGGTTCATCCCTGTTACTCGATGTTGTTGAACTGGATCCTCAACATTCTATCATGTGATGTTTGGATGCGGGGAGGGAGTTAAATATAGAACTCCTCCTCTTGGCATTTCAGAGGTTTATATAATGTCCTGTTCCTTTTGACAGCGGGGAGAAGGTGCACAGGGTGGCTTGGAGGATCCGCCTGGGTCTGGAGCTCACTGCCCACTGCCCGCTAGCTGTCCACTCCGGGATGCTCTGCGAGTCCTGTTTGCAAAGATGCATGCGCCCTTTTAGCCCAAGGATCTGCTCCTCTCAAAAATTCTATTGATTCTTTGAGTCTACAAGTAGCCTTCACAGGAGTGGGTACTGAAAACAGATCAGCCATGCGGCGTACCCTGAATGTGCCTGGGTTACTGGTTTGACACCCCCCCCCACCCCTCCCCTCCCGCCAGCTCCTCTCTGAACCTGCCTTGGAAATTCAGCTGCCTTTGTCATTGAACCCTGCCCTGGGATCCCAAGAACCAGTGTCCCGTCTCCTCACTTCCACCCACGTGACCTTGAACACAGCTCTTTTCCTTTGGAGTCTCCTTACCTTCAGTCCTCAGGTCCTTGCCTGCCTTTCCTCTTTTTGTAAATGTCCCTGCTTCCACGTGGCTGTCCAAGCTCTGCACCTCGGAGTTGTCCTCGATTTCTCTCTCTCTTTCCCTGCTGCATTGAGGCCTCCAGCAGGTGCTGCTAGCTCTACCTCTCCAACATGCCCACAGAACACTTCTCCAGAGAACTCGTCTCCTTCTCTGCTCTCCGCCTCTAGCTCCGACACCCTGCAATCACCCTGTGACCCAGCAGTGTAAGAGCTAAGAGGAAACAGCCAAACCTGTGCATCTAACTGCATTAATCCTTAGGAAAACCTTTCTACAATTCTCCATTTAGCCTTGAGTTAAAACTTGCTGTGGCCTGGAAGGCCGACCATCATCGATGGCTTATGTCCCAGGCTGAAGCCTCTTCTCCTTTCCCTTGTCCCTTCTCTTTCTTCTGGGGACACTCCTAGACCCTACCCCAGTGCCTTTGCACCTGCCGTTGCCTCTGCCTGGGAATCCCATCCTCTAGATCTTCCTAGGAATGGCGGCTTCTCCTTGTTCTGGTTTCACCTCCGACATCGCTGCCAGGGAGCGAGTTCTTGGTCATCTGTCCAGCCGCCACAGTACTCTGCTTTGTTTCTTCCCAGCTCTGTGTCTAGACATGATTTTGTGTCGTCCGACTGTCCCCATGAGAGGGTGTGCCCTTGGAGAGCAGGTTGTTCTATTTGTCTATATCAACCATGTGTCCTTTGAAGGGAGCCATGCACACAGTAGGTGCTTAATAGATACCTGTTAAAGAGGGCACTGGGATGTAACAGCATCCTCTCCCTCCCTCCTCTGCTACACAGACCCCAGCCGGCCTTGGGGAGCAGCTTCAGCCATGGCGGGCTCCCTCCCTCTCCTCAGGGCTCCCAGGACACTTCTCCTGCACTCTCAGCCCGCCTGGCTCTGCATCTGCTCTGCATCTGCTTCTCCGCAGACTGGCGCGGCGCACGGTGCTTTCTGGAGACATTTACATGTAAGATATTTATAAAGAAGGGATCCTCTTCTATTTTTGCTCAGTCATCTGTCAGGGAAAGGGGGGCAGAACAGGCCCCATGACTCATCCTGCTGCCTGAGAGCGCTGCCCCCTCCGTCCTGAAGGGAGCACTTCCACCCCTCCACCATGGCGGCCCTTCAGGTGGCCCGTGCGCCACGGTCTGCACTGGCCAGGTGGACGATGATTGCAGTCCCTTCCTTCACAATGTCCCTAAGACTAGCCCTGTGAGCGCAGGGAGCGCAGTCCATCAAGGGTCCTCGAGGGTCCTGAAGACCCCCCTTGGCTTCAGTAGTTCCCTAGAAGCTCCCAGAGCTCGCCCGTGGTCACACTGGGTACACCCATGGCTCCCTCAGGGCTGTGGCTTGTTCCAGCAGAAGGTCACCCACTAAGACTGGCCGGGAAAAGGGGCCCACAGGGCAGTCTACGAAGGTTCCCACGCGCAGCTTCCTTCATCCCCTCCCGTGGAATCACGCACCACCTTCCCAGCGACGACGTGCAGCAGTGGAGCCGCGCCAGCCAGGGAGCTCGCGCAGGCCTCGGGGCCCTCCGTCCCCTGGGGTCCACCGCTGACTGTCCACGAGACTGACCTCTGTCTCCAGGGCCTCGGGACGTGGAGCTGTGATCCAGAGTCCCCCCCCCCCTTCCCCGGAATCACACTGTCGTACTGTCTATGGGACTCGAGGTCCCCAAGCAAACAGAAATGCACCTTCCCGAGGCCCGAGAAGCCCAGGGCGGGGCGAAATCCTTGATAGTAGCTACGGCCGGCGCTTCTGCTAGGAGGACTGTTGCAGGCAGCTGAGGACCAGCTCTTTTTTTGGGTTCTAACTCCTGAAATGATCCGCTGATTCCACAAGTCTACACGGTTGGCCCTTTGTGTCTGTGGGTTCTGCATGGATGGATTCAACCCACCAAGGATTGAAAACGTTCAGGAAAGAAAACTGTGTCTGCGCTGAACACGCACAGACCTATTCTTGTCCTTGTTCTCTAACACAATAGAGCAGTACTTCCGTAGTGGCCATGTTACTGAGGTTTTATGAGTCGTCACGCCGTGGTTTCGAGTATATGAGCGAATGTCGTAGGTCATGTGCACACAGTGCACTCGTTTTTTTCTGGATATGGTTTTAAAAATTTGTTCTGATTAGTTACACATGAAAGACAGTAGGATGCACTCGGACACATTCGTAAACGGAGTCTGACTTCTCATTCTTCGGGTTGCCCATGATGTAGAATCGCACAGTCATATAGTCATGTGTGTACATGGGGTAGTAATGTCTGACTCATTCCTATCCTTCCTACCCCTTATACCCCTCCCCCTTCACTCCCCTCTACCTAATCCACAGTGACTCTGTTCTTCCCTAGCCCTCCACTTATTGTGAATTAGCATCCACATATCAAAGAAAACAGTTATCCTTTGTTTTTTGGGGATTGGCTTATTTCACTTAGCCTGATAGTTTCCGACTCCACCCATTTGCTGGCAAACGCCACCTTTTCATTCTTCTTTACGGCTGACTAATATTTCATTGTGTATATACACCACATTTTCTTTATCCATTCATCTGCTGAAGGGCACCTAGGTTGGTTCCGTAGCTCAGCTGTTGTGAATTGAGCTGCTATAAACATGGATGTGGCTGCGTCCCTGTAGTGTGCTGATTTTAAGTCCTTTGGGTATAGACCGAGGAGTGGGATAGCTGGGTCTGTTTTATATAAGGGATTTGAGCATCTGTGAATTCTGCTATCTGCTGGTCTCCCCATAGACACTGAGGGACGACCACACTGTGATCCCTGTGACCGACTCTGTGCTCCCTTCTAGGGACAAAGTGGTGAAACACGCTGCCGAAAGGCCGGGAGTCAGACGGATAAACGGCAGTTACTCTTACACACAGTTGTTGCCCTTTTAGTTCTAGAAACGGTACTAAGAGCTCTTGGTGCGGAGGGGTGTCCCTTCTGGTGTCTACCCTGGTGGCTGGAGAAGGCTTCCCAGGGCTGTGCTGGTGAAGCTGAGGTGGGAAAGATCATCATGGGGGTGGGGAGTTGTGTTTAAGTGAGGGAAGATCACGTGCCAAGGTCCGGGGGTGGGACAGTTCCTGTCCAGTGGGAGGAGCCCCAAAGCTCCCAGCTGATTCCTATGGACAAAGAGTGGGTAGATCTCCCCCGGGACTTCCTCACTTGCCCCGGTGCAGCTGGGTCCTGAGACCAAGGGGTTGGTGTCTGAGAGGGATTCTTGGTCCCTGTTGCTATGGCAAAGCCTTCTGGAGGGAAGAAAGGAGGTGAGGAGAGGCGGTGGGGACAGAAGAGCACTTCGGCCTTCAGTGACTGAGGGCATCGGCGGCCACGAAGGCCCCACCCTCTCTCTGTTCCTGGTGGCCTCAGGACTTCAGAGTGCGATTCAGAGTCCCAGAAACCATCCTCATTCCTGACCCCATTGCAAGTTAGAGGGTCCCCAAGGCCACCCTGAGGGACGGTGGTCTGGTCCCTGGCTCTCCAGAGGCAGAAAAAGAGTCGGGTGGTGCTGCCACCAACCAGCGGGTTCAGAACAGCAGAAGGATCCCTGAGCCATTTGGGGCATGTTAGCAGGTGACGCACGGATGTTCTCAAAACCGTATTTTTTCAAAGACAGAAATTATTTCTGGCAGAATCAGATGGCAGCTTTGTGGTCTTTACAGAGAGTTCAAGAAGCACCACAAAGACAAAAGGTAGAGAGAAAAGAGCTTAGTGATGCTGCCCAAGAGTTATGCACTTGGGCTCAGGAAGGTGACTTACCCATGAGGCAGAGAGACACCCCCTGGCTGAATGTGTCCCCCAGCGCTCACATGTTGGAACCCTGGTTCCCAGGGCAGGAGTCCCAACAGGTGGTGGAGCCTTGGAGAGGTGACTGGGACATTCCGAGGGAGGGTGCCTTTCTGGAAGCCGTGGTGGGGTGTGAGTGCCCAGTGTCTCTTGCTTTCTCTTTGGCATGCGCCCCTTGTCCTCCCCTCCCCTGCTGTGTTATGGCCTTCACCAGGTTGGGCTGCCCAGTGGATCTTCGGTTCCACCTTCGAGAGCTGTGGGCTGAATAAACATCTTCTCTTTAAAAATCACCTGGTCTCAGGCATTCTGTCACAGCCACAGAAAACAGACTAAGACACCTGAGAAGAAAAATGGACAAAGAACATTTAACAAGTGGTTAGGGAATAGCAATCCAAAGGTTGACAAATGCCCGAGGAAATGTTAAGCCCTGTTAATAGTACAAAATATTCCCAATAAAATAAAGAAACCCGTCAGTTAACACAGGAATGTGAAGGGAGCTCTGTGTCGTTCTTACCATGAAGAAAAGCAAGATGACAAGAGAAGCTTGGGGTGCACTTCCCTGGGGGAGTGGGGGTGGGTCTCCCTCTGTGTCCTCACTTGGTCTCCCCAGTCCTGGTTTCCCTGCGGCTCAGTGTGACAGCGCAGTCCAGGCTGGAGAGTGCTCTGCAGTCTGTGAGCGGACATGGGGAGGCCTGGCCCTTGAGCATCCGCCCACTGCTCCCTCTCTCCTGCAGGTGCTTGAGCTTGGGGGCCAAGGAAGCAAGGGGCCCCTCCTCTGTGCTACAGCCATCGCTCCTGTCGCCCAGCCTCAGGCAGGCCCAGGGCTTGGCTAGGCCGCAGGGGCCTGGGGGACTGCGGACTGGCCCCTGCTCTGACTGCAGGGGAGGGATCACACGGTAACTCCCCGCTCTGTTTTCAGGTTTCAGACACTGGGGGAGTCTCTGCCGCTCCCGTCATGTCTTGGATCTGTGTAACTGAGGGGGCTCCAGGGCAGATTGTGAAGGGATCTGCTTATTCCCTTGCAGTCCTGGGTGGGCAGTGGAGGGACAGGCTGCCCAGGGGCCTGTTTGCTTGTCCAGTAAGGGGCTTTCCACTGGAGTTGCTCCACCCAGGACCGCCTGGACTTGGGGTGAGTCTCCGTGTGGTTCTGCTTTCCCAGCTCCTGTGGCCGTGAACTTCTGTCCCCAGGGTTGAGACCTTCAGTTTCTGGCTGAAGTGCGAGGCCTTAAGAGATCAGTTTTTGGCCATTGTGAGACTTGATTCCCGCCTCTCGATCAAGGTTCTGTGAGACACATGTGTCTGCAGCTCTTCCGTGGCGTCCCGTGGCCTCTGGAGTACGATCCAGTATCCTTGTGAGAGCCTCTGTGGCCCTGGTGATGCGGCTGCTTCCTGCTCTGCTCTGGCTTTGTTTCCTGGCATTTTCCTCCTTCCTTCCAACCCCAGGGCCTTTGCACCCTCTCTTTCCTATTCCTGGAATGCTCTTCCCACTCCTCTGCACCTGGTTGATGACTCCTTATCCTTCAAACTTGGTTGAATGTCATTTCCTTGCAGAGGCCTGCCTGATGGTCCTTCGTCTGCTTTCCCAAGGGACCTGACTTTAGCTGTTCAGCAGCTTTAACTTGTCTGTCCACGTGTGTGGCTCTGTGTCACCTGTGAAATGTGCTCCTGAGGGTGGGCCCCCCTCTGTTCACCTCTGAATGTCAAGTATCGCAGCTGAAGTGCAGGCAGCGGCTTCCTCTAGGACCCTTTTGGATTTCATCTGGCCAGAGAGGTGGTGGACCAGGGACCTGTGAGAGGGTGACCGCACAGGGCAGCACACCTGACGTCCGGAGGGCCTGTGCGCCGTGCACAGGGTGGTGGTCTGAAGTGTTGACTTCGTCGGGTCTCTAAGCAGCGCTGTTTGTGCTGTTATTCTGAGCACCGTCCTGCAGACGGGGACACTGAAGGACATGGGAGGGGGAAGGGGGAAGCAGGGCAGCAGATGCCAGCCCAGCTGGTCTGACTCAGAACCCGAGGCTCACTCCCACCCCGTGCCACCAGCCCGCTGAATGAGGGTCCTCCCAACCCTCAGTGCTCAGGGCGTGGTCCCCGGACCGGCATCCTCCGCATCCTCCCAGAGCTGCTAGAAGAGCTGAACGGGAGCTGGGCTGTGGCTCAGGGGCAGAAGCACTTGCCTAGCGCTTGTGAGGCCCTGGGTTCCATCCCCAGCACCACACACACACACACACACACAGAAAGAAATGTAGAGCATCCAGCCCTGTCCAGGTCGATGGAGTCGAAAGTCTGCATTTTAAGAAGGCACCCGGCCATTTGTGGTTGGTTGAAGTTTGAGAAGCCCCGCTCTAGAAATCCACCCAGTGTAAGTGGGAGCTTCCCGAAGTCCAAAGCTGGAGAGTTGGGGCGTTCTTGGGGCTGAGTGCACCTTCAGTGCCTTACAAATCATGGCATCAACAAGCAGTGGCTTCCTTTGCTCGAGGACATGAGTGTTGACAGGTTAATTTAGAACCTTCCATAGAAAACAAAAGCACGTTGAGCTTGCAGACTTGATCCAGGGCTTCACAGCAACAACAACAGCAGCAACAACAACACACAAATCCACTGGGAGCCCCTGAGCCTGGATGGCAGAGGCGTCCCCATATTTCTGGCAACAGGTTCTGGCCAAACAGCCAGGAGCACTGGCCCCATTTCATTGTGTCGGGGACCAACTTTGATGTCTCTTCTTTGACGGAGGCGTTGGCCTCACTGGCTCTGTGTCTGAGCCAGGCCCAGGGCAGCTCCCTCTCCGTTTATTAGGTGCGGGTAGGTGCTGCCTTAGACACCTGAGTCCTTCAAGGCACAGAGCTCTGATTTCATTGTATATTTGGGCCTTTCCCATCCTCTGTAGGCCCCAAGGGCCTGGTGTTCATGGGCTTCACCAGTGATGTATGTAGTTGTGTTCCATCAAAAGGATGAGTGGCGGGCGGTGCAGGGGATGATGGATGTCCTGCGTCTCCGAGTCGCCTGGACGGATCTGCTGACCATGCACCGTTGTCTCTAAGGTTGACCGTCCTGCAGGGGGCCCGAGGAGGTCGGCACTGTTTGCACATTATCTCGCTTCCCCATTTCATCTTGCCAAGTTACATTTAGCTGTTATTCATCTAATTCCTTTTTAAAATTTTAACATTCCCCATTTTTTTTTTATTTTAAGGACAAAAAGAGGCTTTTAGGAAATAAGCATCAGGGACTCACTAATCAAAGCAGAAACTTTCTGGGAGAGATTTGACAGCAGCCTGTCTCAAATGACCTTCAAGAAGATCACATGCTCCAGGCAATTACAGGATTTGGGAGAAAATAGCTCATTCGGAATCCTCTCACCTGGTGCAACGGCCTCACTGTGCGGAGGCCCCGCTCCCCCGTTGTGGCTTCCTTACCAACCGTCTCCCAAGAGAGATTTCACTTGCATTAAAACTCCTTCAGCTCCAACAAACTGCAAAGGGGGCAGCTGACACCACAAAAGGGCTCTTCGGCACGGTGCCAGGTGGTGTTTTTCCTAGGTAAACGTTTGGCTGTGGCGACAGGAGGTGTATCTTACATTCTGATCAGGGACCCCACATTAGGAGGGAATTTGGCTTCTCAGCCTCCCGAGCATGGGTGCAGCCGGAAAAATAATACGTTTGTCAAGAGGTGACCAGTTTCTCAGCTGGTAGTGCCCAGAAAGAAAGGCATTGAGTGAACTGTGGTGGGGCTCAGGCTCCTGGTGAGTGGAGCTCATCTGGTCCGAAGCCTTAGGGAGAAGAGGTTTTCAGGAGTCTAGAAGCAATCCTTTATTTTAATTAAACCAAGGTCCCCTCTTGTTTTCAGGGCCAGATGAGATTTTTTTTTGTGTGTGCGTATGCCAACTCTGCCTTTAAAAGAATTGTCTGACAGTGTTTCCATTATTTGAAATCTTTCCTATGGCATAACAGGCGCTGGGGCGAGATCTGTATTAAAGTGTTAAACATTTGAGTATTTGGTCACCCTTCATTTCCAGGAGAATGTTTTCTCTTAGTGATTGTCTGTCTGCTCTGCTGTGACTCATACTTTACTGTCACATCCCTGTGCTTTGAAAGAATTGGCCTCTGATGTCAGCTCAGGCAGAATGGCCTGGGAACTTGAGATGTGCCCCTGTCCCCACCCAGGGCCCTTGCTTGAGTCTGAAACCTCTTGTGTTGGTGTTATGGAAATGGACGATGGGCTTGGGCCTTCGTGGTCCCCAGGTTCTTGAGAATCCCAAGATGGACATTTCTGTGCTCACTGGGACCCAGAGCAAGCCGTGTGGGCCTGGGTTCTCTGGGCACCTTGCTGAGGGAGATTCCAGAGGGGGAAGCTGAATACATGGGGGCAGCCTGAGTGCTATTCCCAAAAGGCCATCTTCCCTGTAATAGCTTCTGAGCTTGAAGACCAAGACTTTGGGTCCCTTCAAACGGTGCTCCCACAAGCTGGATGACCTTCCCCCAGCGATTCTTGGGCCATAAGTCAATACATGAGGCAGAGCGATTAGGTGACCTCCTGGGCCCGTTTGACCAGGGTGCTGGAGTAATTAAAGTGCATCCAATCCTCAGGCTGTCTGATGACCTGCGACTTCTGTGGCTGGTTTGGAAAGACGTGCTTGGATGTGGAGGTTTAAAACTGGATGTTAGAAACCGGATCCGACTTTCCCATTAGCTTTGCTGGTGTAGGAACTGAAAGGAGGCCAGGACAAGCCAAAGTCTGGAATGACCAGGAGCCTGAGGGTGGGGACAGTGGGAGGTGGGAGGTAGAGCCCTGGGAGGCAGGAGCAGGTGAGGGCTTTCCAGGTCTATGTGCACCTTATGGCAGACAGGTCTTCCTTGAGCTGGAGCTGATTCTCTTCTTGGGCATGCGTGCAAGGTGCTTAGTGAGAAAAGCAGAGGTGATTTTCATAAAGAGGTAAAATCCTAGGGGACATGTCTGGAAAACCGATATTTCATGATTTAGGAAGCCAAGAAAAGGACTTTTTGGCTTTAGGAGGCAGCAGAGTTCCAGAGGAGGAGGGGACTGAGAACATGATAAACTGGTCAAGTTCGGTAGGAACGTGGGTTGAGCAGAGTCCCAAGTCCCTGTGCTTCCAGTATTTTGTGCAGGAGACGTCTTTGTGGTGTGCTCTGTCCTGCACAGCGTGGGATGTTCAGCAGCCTCTACCTACCAGATGCCAGGAGCACTCCTCCCTGATTGTGACAGCCAACAGCATCTCCAGACATATCCCAGTGTTCCCTGGGCACAAGGTCTCCCCAGCTAAGAACCCTTGGGTTAGAAAGCAAAAGATCTACCTGCCTTCCTTTCTCGGATGGTTTTTTTTGGGGTTGTTATTGTTGTTTGGTTGTTTGAATCCACTGTTTGTGTCACACTTTTGAAGCTAAAGAGATGACAAAGGCCCAATCCCTGATCTGCATCAACTAATAGATTCCTGGAAGATATTCATGGAGTTAGCTTAGCCAAGACAGCTGGGATACCCCCTTTTCTTGGAAGAAGAGCAAAGCTCACCGGTGCAGAATGGGCAAGGCACACACTGATTCACAGTGTATTAGGGCCATGGTGGATGCTGTGACAAATAAGCCCATCAGTGGTCAAGCACAGAAGTTTGTTTCTTGCTCATGTCTTGGCTTTCCTGATTGGTGAAGAGCTTTCCTCCGCAATGGCGTCAAGGACTCAGACTTCTGCCATGTTGTGACTCTTCCAATCCCCAATATCTTGCTGTCCTCTGTCTCCAATCAGCAGAAGAAAGAGTAAAGAGAAAGCATTTTTTTTAAGAGCCCTGGCTTGGATGTGACTATGTTTATGCTCATCTTCCATTGGTGGAAATTAGATTCCGTGGTCTCTGATCAAGTAGAATAAATCAATATTGGATCGTTCTTCTTGGCTCAAACTGTGATACTTCTGGGTCATGGAAATGGGCCATCAGGGCTGGGTCACGTGGAGCGCTTTCTTTAGGAGAGGGGAGAGTTTTGCCTAGAGTCCTCTTTTATGCACGGTTCCCGGTAGGGCTGGGAAGGACCCAGGATTTCAGGCCAGGCCGACTGTCTGCGCTTTGCATCTCTTCTTTTGTCCCCACCATGTTTGGAAGACATGGAATCTTTGTATCCCATGTCTGGGTGCAGGGTTGGGTATGGAGCGTGTTCTCAGGGCTTGAATGGTGGTCAATGTTGTTCACATCCTAGGAAACCTGTACTTAAGGAGGATTTTTCTGTACCCCAACTCTGCAGATATCAGGGCATGATAAACTCCAGTTGCCACAGTGGGGGTGACCAGAGTTCAGGTTATTAGCAAGGGATATAAGTGACAGAAGTTAACCCAGCCTCAAGTCCGAGGAGGAACTAAAAGGTCCAAGGGTGCCTGGCTTCCAGCAGGGCTGAGTGGGAGGCCCACCCTTGTTATTAGGAACCTCTTTCTTTGGTTGGCTTCACTTTCTTCTGTGTCAGACTCATTCTTTAGCAGACTTTCCCTGATGACAGACACTCATCCTTTTGCTTGGCCACCTCCAGGGAAGAGAATGTCCCAGGATCACGTCTCATGGGTCTTCCCAGTGTCACACACCCATCTTTCTATCAGTCACCATGGCCTGCCTCTCGGAGGCCAGATGAGCCACATGAGCACTGCTAGTTCCAGGGGTGCCTGTCCACAGAGCTGGAAGGGCAGAGAGGGACAGTTCTCCAGGGGAAAGCTGGAATGCATTGACCCAGACCGGCAAAGGATTCTGGACGAGCAAAGATACCTGGCACCCACGCTGTTTCCAATCTCTTTGTGCATTTAACACCCACTAACATTCCTCTGTGGGTATGCCTGATTGATCCCTGTCAGTCCCCCTCCCCGGCTGTGACCCATGAGCTTCTTGTGGACATCTCCTACCAGGTCAGAAGTGGCATATATGTCCAGGCCCTGGCCACTAGTGTCCTCCTACCCCCCTGGCCTCAGTGAATGTCCAGGGATGGTTAGGTGGCTCACGAAGATCCCAGGAGATGGAATGAGGCTTGAACTCCAACTTGAGTGAAAGAGGTTATTTTTTTTCAACATTACCTTTTTATTGTGGGAAGTGTCCAACATACATGAAAACAGAAGTGACGGTATAATATAATAAACAGAGGTCACTTTCACGTGCCCACCATCTAGCTTAAGCCCTCATCAACACATGGACCATCAGTTTCGCCACCCACAGTAGATTATTTTGGAACAATTTCCAGCGTGGTATCATTTCATCTGTGCATTTTCCAGTATGTGCCTCTGAAGATATGAGCTCTTGGGGAGGGGACTTTGTACTTCCTGTTAAAGTGAGTCTGAGAAGATGACAGGGGAGAGCTGCTGGCCCCTTCTTGCTTCCTCTTGAAGCCAGTGACTCAGCCAATGAGAAGGCAGCCCAGCATCAGGGAGAGAAATTAAGTCCCAAGGACGATTTTGGGGGCCCTGTATTCAAGTGTGCATGCAGTAAGCTTTAGCACTATTTTTTTTTTTTTGCAGTTAAGTGAGTCAGAATGTGCCTTTAGCTATGTTATTAACGCTCTGCCCATAACCTCTTGGCCCACCTGAGGGCCACCTGAATGAAGCTTGGATGGAAAGTTCCCAAGACTTCTCACCTCAAGTGCAGTCACCTCTCTGCCCAGGGCTTTCTCTGGCCAGGGGTTGTGCCTGGTCTTGCCCGGGTGGCCGACCAGAAAAGGCAGGGAAGACATCCTTCCCCGAGCCGCCCTCACCCACGAGGGGTCAGAGTTGGTGTACAAGGTCCTAGCTTCCTTGTGGCTTGGTGAGACCACACTGAGGTGTAGTCTACGCTGTCTGAGAGCTCCTGGAGGGGCCGAGTCCCCGTGGCCCCCAGCAGTAGCTGTCCCCTACTGTGCCCATCACTGACCACTGACCTCTTCCCCTTTCCTGTCTTCTCTCTTACTCATCACACTTCCTGAGCCTGCTCCCAGCGACACCATGTACCTGGGTCTCTTGATGGCTCTGGAGAAGGCCTGACCTGAGACAGTCCCTGGTCCTGCAGCCTGGGTGCTCCTCCTTCAAGGTGTGTTTCCCCTTATCGTCATTCTGCGGGGAAGAGGGTGGACAAAGGAAGAGTCCAGCCCATCCCCCCGTACTTCCAACCCCTGTTTCCTGGGGACATGAAATAAAAGAACTTCTGGGAAACTCTGTCCCCAGTCCACTTTCCTAACGTCACAGGAGACGTCTCCCGTCCGAGATCCTGTGCAGCAGCCAGTCAGCTCTCAGCAGGGCCTGGCTCCCTGTGAACCTTACCTGCCGCAAGATGAAATCCAGGTGCTTTTTCTGCGGGGGCCGGAGGCTCTGTCCTGATGGTTCAGCTGGTGATTTATGGGTCTGCACAGGGAAGGGTGCTCTGCGCCACCTCTCCAGGCAGATTTCAGGCTCCTGTGACGAGGGGTGTGTGTGGGGACAACCAAAGAGCAACCGTCCTGTGGGGCCATCCTCGGGTGTCCCCCGTCACCTACAAGCGAGCACACCAAAGCACTCAGAAACAAGAGCTTTCAAGACCACAGTCACTTGAACCGTCAGCAAATCACCCAGTAAGATGGGGGGGACTTCCATGTCCCAAACACCAGTCACGCCCTGGACTCAGGACCCCCCAGGCGCCCTGGCGGGGCTTGGGGACTGCTGCTCCACACACCATTCCCAGGGGACTCGGAGAGCACCTGGTTTTACTTTTCTTAGTTTTTCCTGAGGGAGGTTCACACACTGGGTGGAAAGGGCCCAGCGCTGTCCCCTGGGCACATGGGGACACGGCGGAGGGGCGCTCCCAGGCCCTCACCTTGCCATCCCCCTTGAGGTGGTGGACACTCTTCGGGGGGTCGTTGGGCTGTTTCCAGAGGACACGGGTCGTGGGTGGGCAAACGGGGCTGTGACACCTGCCCTGAGCGCGGGCTGCTGGGCCCGACCGGCTCGAGACCCCGGAGAAGCGAAGGCCGGGAAAGGGGGCGCATGCGCACGGGCGGTGCGGCGCGCCTGGCCCCTCCTGCGCGTGCGCGGGGCGGCTCGGCTCTCGCTGTGGACCTCGGGGCCCGGGAACTGGGCCTTTGGGAGTGGGCCTGCGCCCGGGACCCTCCAGGGGGATTTCCAGCCTTCAGCCTCGGACGGGGCTGCGTCCCTGGCCCCTCGGTTCCTGAGGCTCAGCTGGACCTCACAGCCACGGGTCTCCAGCCCGCAGATGGCCATTACAGAGCATGTGGCCTTGGACCGTGTGAGCCACTCCGTACACCCCACTTGCGGTGACCTGCTTCTCCAGGCTGTTTCTCTGGAGAGCCCCTCAGCCCAACCCGCGGACCCCCGTGCCCTTCAGTGGTCCCCCCATGGTCCCCCCACCAGTCCCCCCACCAGTCCCCCAGGGACCACTGGCCAGCTTGCTGTCCCCGTGGGTTTGCCTGTTCTGGGTTCTCGGTCACTCGGGACGTGACCGTTGGGCTTGCCTCCCTTCACTTAGCATAGACTCTTCTGTCCTGTGGACACGCCACCGTCTGTCATGGTCCTCGATGGACACACGGGTTGTTTGGGGCTATTAGGACGATCCAGTAGGGACACTTTTTGCTACTTCATGTGAAGGTACATGTTTTAACTTGTGGTGAAATTAGATGTGGGTCGCATGATAATTCGATTTACCTTGTATATATTATTTAGATTGTGAAACGGTAAATATGAACCCCTAGTGATTGTACCCATTGGCGGGCTTCACGGTGACTTTCCACACTTGCATGTATCCTGTTTAATCCTGTTAGCCTTCCTCTGCCCTCTCCTGCCTCTCCTTCCCTAATGTTGCTGCTCCCACTTCCAGGTCTTATTCCTAGGAGGGAAAACCTACGGTGCTGGTCTCCCTGTGTCTGCTTTATTTTGCTTGACTTGATCTCCATTTGCACGCATTTTCCTGCAGTGACATGATTTCATTCTTCTTTATGGCTGAATAACATGCCATTGTGTGTATATACCCCCCCCCCTTTTTTTCCAAATCCATTCATCTATGGATGGGCACCTGGCTGATCCTGCACCTGGGCTGTAGTGAACAGTGCTGTGGTAAAGATGGGTTGACAGGGATCTTTTGTATGCTGACTCCATTCCCGTTGGAAGTGCACTCAGGAGTGGGGTGGCTGGATCATCTAGTAGGTCTACTTTTGGATTTTTGAGGAACCCTGGATTGTTTTTGTGCCTATACTCATTTGCATTCCCGCCAACGGTGTGTAAGTGTCTCTTTTCCTACAACCCTTGATAGTGTTTGGTCTTTTTTAATTTGTTTCTGACGGTAGCCATTCTGACTGAGGGGAGATGGATCTCAGTATAGTCTTGATTTGCATTTCCCTGATGGCTAAAGCTGTTGGCGTTATTTCACATAATGATCTGCTACGTGTGGTTCTTCTTTTGAGAAGAGTCTTTTCGGACCATTTGCCCATTTTTCATGGGATCACTTGTTCTTTGGATATTGAGCATTTCGAGTTCTTTGTTCTGGATGTTAATCCTCTGTCAGAGGCGCAGCTAGCAAAGATCTTCTCCCGTTTTGTAGGTTCTGTGTTCACTCTGTTGATGGTTTCCTTTGCTGCGAAGAAGCTTTTTAATCTGATGTGATCCCATTTGTCCATTCTTTCACCTCCTGAGCTATCACCGCCTATCTTGAAGTGTTTCCCCGTTTCCCCTAATGGTCTCAGAGTCTCAGGTCTCAGGTTAAGGTCTCTGTTCCATTCTGAGTTGATTTTTGTGCACAGTGGGAGGGGTCTAGTTTCCGTCTTCAGCAGGTGCATATTCAGTTTTCCCAGCTCCATTTGTTGAAGAGGCTGTCTTCTCTCCAGTGTGTGTTTTTGGGCCTTTTGTGGAGCATCAGATGCCTGGATAAGTGTGGTTTCATTTCTGGGTCTCTCATTCCATGCATTGGGTCTAATCGTCTGAAGCAACCCACGTCAGGTGGGGAGGAAACACAGAAAACAGGGGTGGAAACTCAAAAAATTAAACAAACCAGGTAACATCTGAGGTATCATCTGAGCGCATGGGAGCGGCCTGTCAGCTGACCCCTGCTACATGAGAACGTGGGTCTAATGTCATCGGTTCTTTCAACAGTTCAGGAAGACTGAAAATTGGGATTTTTTTTTAAAAGAGAAATTAATACATCAAAGAGGTTTAAACAAAGACTTTAAGAGCCGTGTAAGCCTGGTGCATGGGGTGGGGGCCTGACCTTGCCCCAGCAAAGGACCCAGGACGTCTGCCTTTCACCCATGTGGCTCCTGACACCCTCGAACAGGTCATCCTAGTTGGCCACTCCTTGCTTAGCCCGTCACCGTATGTATTCTGAGCCGGGGTCTGGGTTTGTTTGTCGTCTTAGGAAATACTTGTCAGAGAACTGACCGTGCATAATCTTGTGCAGAAGTCACTTTTGTTTTGGTTGAGTGGACATTGTTCTTAGCTCCCCAGAACAAACTAGCTGTGCGCATCCTGGGATGGCGGGGGCTGGTGCCTGGGGCCTTCTGGGGACCCAGAGGGCACATTTTCCCCCTCTCCGTCTCCTCTGTGGGCGCCTGGTCTACCGTGGCCGCTCTCCGCTCCACTGCCTCTGCTTCATGTGGTCTGGGCTGGGGCCTCCCGGTGGAGTACCCTTAGCTGTGCACAGTCACAGCCCTTGGGTGCGGTGAAGGTCACCCTCCGGCTCCTCTCCAGGTCCCAGGGGTCCCCCTGGGGCTTTCCCACACTGTATCTCAGCATCAGCACTGTGGGCACGGCCCTCTGTGGCCCTGTGAAGGACAGAGCCAGTCCCCTCTTGTTAGCTTGCTCTTCACTCCTCTACTCCCCAGGGTCATGGAATGTTCTTTAACATTTAAAAAAATAATGTTCATTGTATTTAACTTTCTTTGTCTGATTCCAGCAGTGTTGTATGGCCATTGTGTTGGAATTACAGACTGTAATTAAAATGATCAATAATTGTGTCACACATTAAACAGCAATGCTATTTATTTATTTATTTTTTGGTACCCAGGATTGAACTCAGGGGCACTTAACCCCTGAGCCACACCCCCAGCCCTTTTTGTATTCTGTTTAGAGATGGGGTCTCACTGAGTAGCTTAGGGCTTTGCAGGCTTTGAACTCATGGTCCTCCTGCCTCAGTTTCCCAAGCCGCTGGGATTACAGGTGTTCGCCATGGTGCCTGGCAATACTGTCATTTTAATTGCTGTTTTCTCTATATGTGTGTGCTTTGTGTGTGTGTACGCATGTACGTGTGTGTATGCAGAAGTCTGTCCATTTCATCAGGTATAAAGGGGTTTGTAATGAGAAACTATATCCCACCTATGTGTGATATATCAAAGTGCATAAATGCATTCCACTGTCATGTATAACTAATTAAAACAAATTAAAAAATTTAAACAATATCTGAAAGGTCTGTAGTGATGCCCCCTACTTTATTAACCTTTACTTTTTTTCTTGATCAGTCTATTTAGATCCTTCAAATTCATGATTTTTTTTTCAGAGAATGAGCTTTGGGTTGACTTGGTTTTCTCTGTTAATTTTCAGCCTAAATGTTTTAGTCCAAATGCCCTCCCAGAGGACGTTTTCTGATCATTCTGTGTAAAGTGGCTTCTGATCTCTCTTATCTTCCCTCCCATTATCTATTTTACTTTATTTTTTGTTTATTTGTTCTTTTGTTTTGAGACAGGGTCTTCCTAAGTTGCTGGGGCTGGCCTCGACCTTGTAATCCTCCTGCCCCAGCCTCCCCAGTTGCTGGGATGACAGGCGGGCGCCATTGCATCTGGCTCCCATTGTTTATTTTGTCTCTCGGCTCCATGTGTAATTATTTTTTATTTGCTCATTATTGGTTTGTTATTTACAATTTTGCTGCGTTACTGGTAGATGTTGAAGAATAGTAAGAAGTCTCCCTAACCTGCTAATGTACATGGGTGTCCAAGAAGCACACAGAGCAGTTTCCAGAGGTGGAGAGTATATAGAGTGACCGGCAGGACAGGGCTCTGGAGGTGGCCAGTCTGAGCTTAGTCCTGACCCCACCATTCACCGTGTGTGACCTTGAACCTCAGCCAGCTTCATTCAGCCTGTTTTTGTGTCTGTACAATGGGTTAGAGTGGGTGCTTTTCTCAGAGGGTTGTGGGAGATAAAATCAATCTGCATAGGTGCTCAGCATAGTGCCTGGCACCAGTCAGAGATCAGTTAAGACAAGTGGTCACTTTCAGCTCGTGGAGAAGCGTCTTGCAGAATAAAGTTCTGTGGGAAGCCTTTTGGGAAGCTCTGATTTGTGCCTTGGTTGCTCATGATTTTGACATCCATGGCCTGGAATCAGTCCTGGATCATTGAATTGTTGTTGCCAAGAATTTGTGACGGAGGTTTAGCCCTGCTGAGTGTTCGGAATGTGCCACTTGGTGTGGCTTGGGGGTCTCGTGTAACTCCTGCACAAGCCCTGGGTGTGGCTCCCGTGATTCAGAGTGCTGCCGTCAGGAGGAGCTCCGTGCCATGGTGACACCGCACTCCCTGCAAGTCACGAGCCCTGTTCCAAGGGAATTCTGATCCCCTCTGAGATGAGAGCTATGCCCCTTGGCAGCCAAGTACTGGCTCTGTGGCCACTTGCCAGTGGTGCGACCTTAGAGCCATTACTTAACCTCTCTGAGTTCCGCTTTGCTATTCCTTTGATGGTTTGCTGTGATGAGGACCCATCCTGGGGTCCCTGGCAGGGTTGGAGAGATGTGCACGGGAAGGATGTAGCCCAGAGTCTGCCTGCTGCCAACGGAGCCTCCCTCCAATCCTGTTGTCCCTAGAAGACCAGCTCTTTGCGCCAGAGGGTAAACATGTTTAGTTCACCCCTGCGTCCCACCATCTCCATCAGGGTGCTCAGATACTAGGTTCTCAAGAAGAACACGCACCTGTAATCCCAGTGACTCAGGTGGCTGAGGCAGGAGGATCTCCAGTTAGATGCCAGCCTCAGCCTCT